CCCCCCCCCCCCCCCGCCGATCCTTTCCGACCAACTTGCGCCGGGGTAACGAGCAGTGCGATCGTAAGTCTCTAACATCGAAGGGGTACTCCGATGATTTACAGCCGACGACGAGAAACAACGCGAAAGATGATAAATATTCGCGGAGCGGCTTGTGTAGTTGTTTTCGTGCCAAAGTTTTTCGCATTTTACTTGTAATTCTCTAATCCGTTGCTTAAAGTCTACTCTAAACGAAGGATTATCTGTAGACATTTTCTTGTCTGCAAGTAGCGAAAATTTCGCGTACGATGCGATTTATAGTTGGAGACGAGGAACAACGCGAAAAGTGATAAATATTCACAGGTTTTTAGTATTTTACTCGCGATTCCTTACTTGTCTAAAGAAAGAAAAATCGTGGAAATTCACCAAGTTCACTTCTGCAGACGTTTCCTTCTCCGCGCGTACTTGCTCCCCTTCCGATGCAAGAGGTTGAAGAATCGAATTTTCGGAGGCAATTAATCTCCGATACAAACCGTGAAAAATCGTATTTCAAGTACGCGCGAGTTATGCCGGGTGAAAAATGAACCGTGCGAGACCAGTCTCGAAAATAGCGTGTCGCTGTTGCAACGCGAAGATGAATGGCGCGAATTCGGGTCACCGCGTTGCTCGTCGAAAATACTTAAACTCGTAGTGAACACCCCCGGCGACAAAGAAAGTCACGTGGACGAAGGGTTGCGTGGCTCGCGAGCCTCGCATTCTCCTTAGGTCTTTGCTCTTGACCGCTTCCGGGTCTCTCCGCTCGACCTGCACTCCGCGCAACGGTTAATCGGAAAATTTCTCCAGAGAGTCGATTCTGGAAGGCGAAGAAAATGCTCGGTTAGGCGTCGAACGGTCGGCTATTCTCGTTTTAATGAGTCATTATCGAAAAAGGTGCATGCACCAGGCTATTTCGCGGAAACTCCAAGGCGCCTGCGTCGTCGACATTCGATATAAGCCGATGGGAAGATAAAACGGAGTTGTTTTCTAATTTATTCTAGGTTTCGCAGCGACGATGGAAATTGGAAAAGTAAAAGTTTGAGATAGTTTATTTATCGTTGTTTTACGAAACGCTATCACGAAACCCTGGGTAAATATGATTGGTAGTAACGAAGGGAGGGAAAGTTGTCGTTGGAAGGAAGGAATAGAACGGCTGCAAACTTTTCAGCGATCTAATTCGGTCGGTTCGCCTCGCAGAGATCCGGTGGCACGCTTTTCTCCGACCGTGGCACACACGTTCGATCATCGACCGAAATAACATTGGCATTGTTCCGTTTCCCTCCAGAGGAACCGGCTTTCGTGGCAATCGGGTCGACTAATTTCGACCCTTCGCCGCGCCTTCTTAGGCCCGGTTCCACCATCGATCCTCCTCGTTCCATGGAACCAGTCTTGCACGGTTTTTAGTCGATTTTAGTCGATTTACCGCGGCGGAAAGGGTCAAGGTCCTGTCGTGACCGCTTGCCAAACGAACTTTATCGTTCCGCAACCCTCGTGACTCTGCGTCGTTGTAACTTTCCAAGGATGACGAGGGGAAAAGTCATCGTCGATTGTAGCCGAGGACTATTTAATTCGAAGATTCGCGTGGTCTGGAGTGGTGAGTAGTTTGCTCGAGAGGCGCCCAGCTTGAAACGCGCGTTTTATTTTCGTTCGCGTCCCGATAGGTCGCCGACGATGCGTTTATTTCAGGCTCGGGTTGCGGATGAAGTGGTCCGGACGAGTATTACGCAGCCATTCGCGAGCACAGGACGTTTCCTTTCCTCGGAGTTCATTCACTAAAACTCCCCCCGGCTGATTAGTTGGAACGTCCGAAATAAATTCACCGTGTCGAATAAATTTGCCAGACGTGTAAGCCGTTTAAACGCTGAACGAAGAGGAAGAGGGCAAAGATCTCGTTTGTTTCGCCCGGCCGGCCGTCCTTTTTTAGCCGGGGAAATAAAGATTGGCGTAACCCAAACAACGTTCCTTTCTTCGCCGCGGCGACGGCAAAGAAAAGCATTCCAGACGAAACCCCGGTGGAATCAATGGCCGGTTCTCTTCGGTTCGCGCCCTGATCAGGAAATTTGCAAACTTCAGCAAACGAGCCCTACGAGCTCCGAGCGCAAAGGGTTCAATTCGTTGCTTTCGCTCTTCGTTATCAGGCTTCTCGTGTTTTTCTGCGTTACTTTTATTGCTCGGTCCGGGCCAGAAATAGAGAAACGATTTTTCAACAAGGTCCGAACAATATAAGACGCGACGCAAATATAGATCGTCGAGAGTTCGATAAGCCGGACGCGGGCTGTTTCGATATCTGGTTGGACGGAGGCCAGAGAGACGTACCGCGCGCAAAACGTGTATCGAAAATCGGCTCGACTCGTTGATTCGTAACCGATGAGGTAACCGAAATAAAATGGTTCGAGTGACGCGAGAAATTCGGTCGCGCATCTCGGCCACGTAAACACGCCGAGATTTAGAAAGTTAGCGGAACGGGGGTGGTTCTAGTTGGTCCAACTTGGAAGGTCGCGGCAGAACTGAACTTGAACCCCCGAAACTTTCCCTCCGCGAGTCGGATGGAATGAATTACGGGCCGGAACTGGTTGGACCGTGGGAATTTCGCCAACGATTAACGCTGAAATGCTCGAGCAAAGTGTTGATTTAATCGAACTTAGAGCTGCTCCAAACGTCGAACGTGTTAATTAGTCGGTCCGCATTGCTTCCGCGAAACGATCGCGCGTAGGCAGCTGGCAACGACGTCGAAATATCTTAACGCGACGCTTAACGATTGGGTCATTAGAGCGAGGCGTCGATCGCAATTAATCGAGCCGCGGGCCAATAATCGCCGCGATATAACACGGGCACTGCCAAATCGAGCTCGGCTAATTATCCGAGAGTAGCGAACGGGTGATCGATCGTGCAGAGAGCGTACGTACGGTGCATTAAGGACAGGGATTCGAGCGTCCAGGGACATTCGAGCTAACTTTAGCCTTTAGCCGCCTCGAGTCGAAGACGTTACGTCGACATAACGGCCACCAGTTTGCCCCGGTCCGTACGGTTTGCCCACGGAAAATAAAACAGTTCTCTGGCCGCCATCCGGCCGCATGGATAAGCCGATAATCGCGTGATCACGCCGCGACGTCTCGAGCTTGCTAACACGACCAGCTAACTCGCGGTGGACCAGTGGGTGCGCGTGGGCGGTGGTGGGTGCCCCTCCTAGGATCGTGTCCGAACACCTTGTCTCGCGTCCTTCCTCTCTCTTCCTTCTTCCCGCGAGTGTCACGTCAGCCAAGCGACACACCAACACCTCGCGAGAATACATGGATCCAGCTCGGAAGCCGCCGAGGTTCCCTACGCTCGAGGAGCTGCAGGACATCCGGTACATGCTCCCACGAGGATTGCTCCTGTAGATCACCTCCAACCCGGGACCCTGGACTGGCGGAAACGGACGACGAGATGGGAGCAACCGACCTGTCCGCCTCTACAGAGTGATTCGACGAGAATACAGTTTCCCCCGCCGGAACACCGAGAGAACCGCTCGAGGATGGGCTTGATGCTGTCCATACTGATCGGCTGCGTGGGCGCGTTGGAGCTGTTGGCGTGTCTACGTCACGTGACCGATGGCGTGGTGATCACCATCGATCAACCGGCCACCCCCTGCCTCGCGTACCACGAAGCGAGCGATAACACGAGCATGCACGACTCCATCTGCAGCTACAGCCACTCGAGCGACGTGAAATTACCCCGTGGCGCCAAGCACAAGTTGGAGAACCTCCACGAGTACAGTCTCAGGATCAGAGCCGAGTTGCGCTCTCTGGACAAGGATTTCGACTACAGCGCGCTGTCTCAAGGTAGCAGGGAGTTCCTCCTAGGTTCCAGAGCGAGTCCCGACTCCAGGCTGAGTCCCGATTTCAACTATCTCGTGGAGGCCAGCGAATCTCTGGAGGATCAGGTGGAACGGAAGAAGGACCGCAGGGGTAAATACGAGAGAGAAACTTGCTACGAGGACGCGAACGAAAGTTGCAAGTTGGAGGGCAGTTCGAGAGACAGACCGCTGTCCCTACTAGCGCCGGAAGCTGAGAAGTACGTCAGGATACCGACACCGGTTCCCTTCGACGTGGAGGACGACGAATTCTCCGGAAGGAGCTCCGGAGCCTCGAGCGACGTCGGCACGTCGTTCGACAACGATTCGGGAAACGAGGCGCCTACTCGCAAGTCCTTCGAGTCTATTCCTGCGATCAAACGGTACAAAAGTCCCTCGGAAGGTGGGTCCTCGATAGACGAGTCGGACTACACGGAACGAAGAAAGGTTCTCAAGAAGCAATTTAGGAAATCACACTCCAAGTCCCCCGAGCCTGCAAGGTCCCGAGAACGTACAGAATTCGTCGTCGAACGTTCCAAGAGCCCCGACAGCTTGGACGAGGCGGAAGCGTTGAAAAATTGGGAAAAATTGGAGCCTCCGACGAGAATTACCAGTCAGAAGAAGGTCATAAAGTCGTCGAGCACTATCGTGAGGAAGCCTACGAGGCTAAAGTCGAAGAACGCGGAGGTGAGCAAGTCTGCGGAGAACTTGAGCGCGAAAAAGTCGAAGAAACATCGAGATCCGCAGAGAAGAAAGTCGGATATCTCCGTTCAGACCGCCGGCAGTTTTCTAAAAGACGAATGGACCAACACCTCTCCGCCTGGGAGTCCGACGAATCTGTCGAGATCAGGAGGAACTAGCCAGCGTGGAGGCTGTCGCCGGACTGGAGGAGGGCTCCGTTCTGGGACTGTCCGAGAGCAGAAGAGATCGCACGTCTCGGGACCGTTTTGGCAGAAGGTCCTTTAAGAATAGAAGATTCGGCTCCAGGGACGTGGCCGTCGACGACGACCAGAGCAGCTTGGTGACTAACGCGACCGCTTCTGTAGAGAGGCCCAAGGATGAGACGCGTTTGCTGAAAATATCGAGCTTCGAGGAGGCGGACCAGGAGGATTACGAGAGGATCCGCACGATCCTGACGGACGCCGAGGTGAACGAGAGGAAGGGGAAGGGAGGGTCCAGGTCTGTGTCCTCGTTCGAGGACGAGGAATTCTGGGACGCGGAGGATGTGAGTGCCGGAACTACTGGACCGATACTGTACTCGATACCGGATCCCGATCGAAACAAAGCTTTCTGGGTAATGACGATGATCTACGAAGCTCCTCCCGTCTCTCTCCGTGTGTACTACACTCGTTACACCCCGCTCACCCGCAAACACTTGTTACTACTCTGCTCACACTCTGCTCCAACTTTTTCATTAGGCTTCTCTTTTCGGAACATCCAGGACACTTTTCTCCGTAGAACCTAGCTTTTTGGTAGTTGTAGCGGTTTCTTTTCCTTCTTTCTAGCGAGAGTGCCACTTGAATGTCAATTGAATACATATGTAATTAATACTACCTACTTACTACCTACAAATTGCCCTTTCACGAATACCCCTGGAATAGCGGCGACGAAGCTCGTAAACGATTCCACCGGGCGAAAATTACATGGAATTCATTCGGCGTACAATCGAGAAACGATCTCTGCGTTTCTCCGGACGTTGGCGAGAAACGACGGCGGATTATGCTTGCGTAACGTTCGCCGCAGCCTCGACTCTCGCAGGGGCCAATGGCGAAGTCCGGACGCGCTGTTGTTGTTAGCGAAGACGTTGGGAAACGCTTGGAAGCTTTCACTGTATCCGGGGGAAAAAATTGGGCCGCGACGGGGCGAGAAACCGTGAATGTTCGCACGGAACACTCGCGGTTCGCCGGCGCGCCCATTGGTGCCGTGTGCCTCGCGTGGGGTCTCCCAAAATATCAATCTCATGCCCGTCTGCAAATAATGTACGTATATACCGCGAGACGCGACACTTTCTCGATGCTTTTCCGCCATGATAGATACCTGACGATCGTTTCGAGTGTCTTCAGGTTTCGGACAGTCGAAGTTTGTCGACTTTGGAGAGCAAGGGGACGAAAGTCTTTTCGCCGGCGTTATATTTTTAATCGCGCCTCCTTCCGGACCCTCTCCGCTCCGATATTATGTTACCGGCCGTCGCGATTCCCGATTCGCGTAGGCGATCACGGACGATTTTCCCGAAATATCTCGTTCGATGGAGAGGCGATTCACCGGAGAACGTCACCGCCAACGATGATACTCGTTATAATAATAACAATGTTAACGACCATATTACAATTTCTAAAAGGGATGAAAATAAGCGAATGGCTCGAGGAGAGGGATACGGGCGAAGCATGCGGCACGTGGGTGGTATATTGGTGATGTGTGGAAAACATTCCGACCCAATTACACCGCGGATCTCTTCTCTGTTTTTCCGGAGGGAGTCTATTTTTCGCGCCTTTTCCACCAGGAACCACCTGTTTGGCACGCGATCAAACCCGTCGAATCGCAACTAGACCCGGGTGGAAATGTTCGGTTTACTACTCTCCGCGTTTCCGTAATACCATCTTCGAGTCGTAAAGTGGTTCGACGAGAACACACTTGCAGCTCGTAAAAGAGCGTTCCGCATTCGTCGATTAGCTCGTACCAGTTCCTTTCGGAAACGATTCTTCTGATCGTGGCTGCTGGTGAAAGAGAAGAGACGGGGAGCAATCGGATAACCTGTGGCGGCGGTCCTCCTCCGTGGAAAAAGGCGTGAAGCGAGCGAAGGAGAGAAAGAGGGGTGTCGTAGAAAAGTTGCACCCGGCACACTGCATCGAGAATCTCGTCGTCGAGCAGCGGCACGAGGAGGAGGAGGAGGTGGAAGGAGGAGGAGGCGCGCGGCGCGTTTCTGGAGTCGTCGGGACGCCGAAAATAGCGTCCCGATATGATGACGCCCGGAGCGGGCCGATCCTAGATTTCAGTCAGTTCGCAAGCTCGAAAGCTGCTGGGTACACGCGGAACACTCTTGACCACACGACTCTCCGTTTCTCATCTCCAGACGCAACTTTCTCGATCTCTTTCGAAATCCTCTCGTTTGCTCCTGCACCGTGGACCGGTAATCCGTTCTCCACTTTGGTTCTCCACTTTCCTCTATCTCCTCCACGTATTTCCACTCGACGCACGTTCCAACCTCCTCCGCGTGCTCGAAAAGATAGAGAGAGAGTGTTGTCTTTAGACGCGAGAGCGGGTTAAGAGAGAAGAGAAGAGAGAAACGAGCAGCAGAATGGCGGACGTAGACAGTGTAGTGTACACGACCACCGAGCGCAAGGTGCGCAAAGTGAAGAAGACGACGAAGCGCAGGGAGAGCCACGATCAGAACGCCGAGGTCACGATCACCGAGGTGGACAGCACGCAGAACAACCACCACGCCATCGAAGAGTATGTGCTGGCTGCAGTTCTAGCTTGGATCGGCCGATTTTTACCCGACACACCCCTCGATCGTTCAGAGTTTTCCGGTTCTCCCGATCGTAACACGTTCAAACGGGCTTGAGACCTTGGCCGCCACCTGAGCTTTTCGAACGTTCTCCCACCGAGTTTCACGAGGACCATGTTGAAATTGTGACGGATTCTCGTCGAGGGGGGAATCGATGGTTCTGCTCTGGACGGGACGAAAACAAGCTCTATCTGCTTTCCCACGCGACCCACTTTCCCTCGATAAAGAAATTCTCCGGTTATGCTTCCGTTGCCGTTCGCCTCCCCTTTGTATGCTTTACAGAAATTTCGTTAACGGGGACGTTTTCGTGACGTTTCGACCCTTAGGGCGCGAAAAAGCGCAGACCGGAAAAATGGAACAGCGGACACCGAAGAGAAAGCTAAGTGAAATTTTTCCGAGTGTTCCATGCTATTCCA